AATATTAGTTCAGCTTTATCAAAATTGAGTGTTAGTAAATCTGCTGGTATAGAAATTCCAGATGATATTTGACGCTAGTATTTTATTAAAATGTTCTGCTTTTTAGTTTTGTTATTCATATATTCATATTTTTAAAATCGTCTTTTTATTTATTATTTTTTTAAATCAATTTTATTATTTAAATTATTATTTTTGTTACAATAAAAATTAAGGATTTTATTGCAAAAAATTAAGTAAAGGCGCGATCCCGTTGATTGGCAAATCTGTATTTTTAATTTAATTGACAAAAACCAGAGCATAATAACATTGCTAATATTTATTGACATAATTTTATCATTTAATTGATTTATCACCCAGTACAGTATGTACGTTTTGATACTTTCAAAGCATCTTCGCTAACAATACTGTAATTGAAAACAAAACTTTAGAAGGCATATCGGTTCGAAGATTTGCTAACACTTAGGTATTAGTAGGTCTCTTATAAGTCGAGTTCTCAAGAATTTCAAAGATACAAGCATATTGAAAATTCCATCACTTTTAGGAAAGCTGTGAATGAGATATCTTAAGACTTCAATGAAAAAAAATATAGCTGGTATTTGTATGAGTTACAATTAGAGACCTTTGTTAGAGTAAAATTAGTCTTATGACAATTTGAAGGGCTGTAAATCAACTTGGATATTCAAATAAAAGTAAAAGTAATATTATTATTTTTATATATATATAAAATCATTTTAATATTTGCGCAAATTCGTGTAATAAGGGATTTCAGAATTAAAAAAAAAATAGCGTATTTCGGAAATAAATAAGAGTGTAAAAAAATCATATTTGTGTATCAAAATTTTGAAATCGGAAAATGAAATGGGAGTGTTTATATACTCCCATTTGACACTGTAAGTAAAAATTTTTTATTATACAGATCGACAACTTTACAGAAATCTGTATTTTTGTAAAATATATCGAAAAGCATCGGTAAGACTGGCCATGTTTGGATCAATGCCGGCTAGCCAAAGGTGACAGAAATAAATTCAATGAAGTCCGCAGAATACATTAAGAGTAATTTTAGCTAAGTAAATCGAACTGAAACGATGATATGCTCCCAGAAAATTAGCAAATGAGATTGCGCCAGGCATCATCGTAACAGTAGAATGAGTGAGAAGCAGCATCAACCGGTGGTTTCCGCCTGCTCGAAGCAGGCCGGTTGTTAAATAGGAAAATGGCAGAATCAGGAGACTGTTCCAATGTTTGAGTATTGGGGATTCTGTCATTGTCCTATGTTGGTTGCTTTTGTTTTTTTGCTTTTTTTTTCCTTTTTTTTTTTTTTCTTGTACTGTACGTTGTGTCGCGTGCACTGTGGTTGAACTTACATGCGACATTTGATTGTTGTGACTGGGACATGGTTGGATATATTTTTTTTTACAGGTGTGCTGTAGTTAATATTTGATGCAGCTGGTTATTCGAGGTGTTGTGATTTGGGTGTTGAACGTTGTCATGCGACCGTGCGTTTATTTATTTGGGCTTGATCTTAGTCTGACTTAACACATTTTTTGAAAGAAGAAAAAAAAAACAGAAGATTTCTCTTTTTTTTTTTTTGATTATTATTTTTTTTTTGTAATTGTGGTGTTTGACGTGTCATTAATAGGAAGTGATGCGAGAACGGCTCAATTGCTGTATATTTTTATCAGTATTGCCGCTATTGTAGCTGGATGGGCCCGGATATATCTGTAGATGTGTCTGAGCTCCATCTACTTATCTTTTGGACTAATATGAGTTGGACCCCGCATGACCAGTTCTGCTGTTCCCCCGGCCCTGAAATTGTGGCCGGCAACGTCCTCTTATGGTAGGGCTTGCTTGAGCTTGTTGATGAAGTACCGTTTTGTTACCCAAGGTCCATCGGCCTTGACGAATAATAGGTCTGGGAGGTTGATTGTTGAGGTCAACCTGTAAACTACATATGCTTTCAGGGCCTCTACAGGGCATAAATCATTGTATGTTGGATTAATAATGAGAGATGTGCGCTGGGCCGTATTGTGGTTTTTGGTGCGTGCCAGTTGAATAGTGGCAAAGGTGTGTTGATTTACTTCCTCGAATCTTAGTGCTCTGAATGTTGGTACCTTGTTTTGATCATGCTTTGTTGTTGAAGGAGTTCCCCTAATTGTGCTAGACCGTAAAATGCTGTCATTGCTATTGCCCAGAATGCCTTGTCATCCCATTCATTCAGGTTTAGATTGCTTTTTAGCTAGTATTCCTATGAACCTGAACTGAACTGAACATTGGTCAAGTTCAGGTTCCAGTTCAGTTCAGTCATGTTCAATATTGAACTTTTAAGTCAAGTTCATGTTCAGTTCAGGTTCAGTATTGAACTTTTAAGTCAGGTTCATGT